CATTTCTGGCAGGAGATGAGCGTTCGTGACTTCTCCAGATACAGCTAGAATATGAGTCCATCTGTTCTCCAAACTGGAAAGTGCAGTGATCTCAGATGCCGAATGACATTAGCGGGCAAATGACACTAGCAGGTGAATGACAATAGCAGACATGATGGGATTAGGTGTGATATGCAGAGGGGGTAGTACTCATGGAGAAATCAGCATTGGTGATGAGACAGGAAACCCAGGTCTCTATTCAGTCCCGGGGGATGCATTGTCTTGAGCTTCATTATGAATTGCAATTCATCAGTCTCTCTTTCTAATCTCCCTTTGAAATTCCTTTGTAAGAGAACTACTGCTCTTAGGTCAGCAACTGAATGTCCTGGAAGGTGCTACTGGACTCTTGCTCTTTTCTGCTGCTACAGACAAACACGGCTACCCATCTTGATCTACCATTAGGAATGAGTGACGGCCAAGCATCAAGCTGTTCTCTTAAATACTAGTTCTGGGGTCTCGAGCTCTCAGGTCCCATTATAGTGGACTTTACATGAAGTGAATAATAGTACCATTCTCTCATAAGCAGTAAGGGGTTTACAGACATATGTGCCAGTATGTGGGGGAGCTGTGATTGCAGAATTATTTCTCTAAATCTCAGCCATTAAATATGGTCACGCCCACAAACTTAGTAAGAGTACATGCATTCATGCAAGATAGGTCAGACAATATAGCTATGATGGTTAAATAGAACCTCCAGCATCAGAGGATGTATACCTCTGAATATCGACGGCTGGGAGGAGACCATGGGGAGTGGGGGCTGTTGAATTCATGCAGTCTTTGTGCGCGTTCTGCAGGCATCTCATTGGCTACGACAGCAGACAAAAGGCTAGACCAGTGGTGGCGAACCTATGGCATGGGTGCCAGAGGTGGCACTCAGAGCCCTCTCTGTGGGCACGCGTGCCATCGCCCCAGCCAGGCCCAGACCATCATTAAAGTGTCGAATTCTCTGCCAAATAATTTTAAGTCAATGAAAGCATTTGGGATTGCTTTCCTTACTTTGTTTGGATCATCTTAAGTTAATGTGTGAGTTGTTTTTTCTAAAGTAAAACCTCAGTATTCAGGTTAAATGGCCATGTTGGCACTTTGCGATCAATAAGTGGGTTTTGGGTCGCAGTTTGGGCACTCAGTCTCTAAAAGGTTCGCCATCACGGGGCTAGACGAACTCTTTGGTTTGTTCCTGCTGGGATCCTTTCTATTCTAAGAGGCAGGTCAGGAACCAGAGTGCCGAGTACCTGGAGAGAGAGAGAAAAAAGGCCTGTCTTTTCAAGAGAGGCTTAATGGTGCTCTGACCTTGAAGGCCCAGGCTAGACTGGTCTTATCAGATCTCAGAAGCTAAGCAGGGTCGGCCCTCTATAGTATTTGGATGGGAGATCACTGAGGAAGTCCAGGGGCCGCTACGCAGAGGCAGGCAATGGCCAGCCAACTGAATGCCTCTCGCTTTGAAAACCCTTTGTGGTGGCCACAAGTCAGCTGCAACGTGATGGCACTTTGCGCCACCGTTTGCCAAGTCGTGCTGTTGACCTCCATGCCAAGAAGAGCTTTAGCTGCCCGTTTCCCCACATTAAGCAACTATCACAGGCAGTGTTCCCTCTAAGCTGAGTTAATATGAGCTAGCTCACAGTTTTTTAGCCTCTGGCTCACACATTTTTGTCTAAGCTCAGGAAGGATGGCTCCAGAGCAAATTAATTTATGCCGTAGCCAAATCACCTGCTCACAATTTTAATGCCAGGAGTTCACAAAGTAGAATTTTGGCTCATGGGACTCCACAGCTTAGAGGGAACATTGATCACAGGAACAGTTTTCTTCAGGACTGTTGGCTTCCCTAAGCAGTACCAATCCTAGTGGTCGAGCATCTGCTCGGCATGCAGAAGGCCCCAGGTTCAATCCTCAGCATCTCCAGTAAGGATCAGATTGTAGGTGATGGTGAAAGACCTCTGCCTGAGACCCCAGAGAGCGACTGCCGATGGACCAAGAGTCTGATTCAGTATTAATATGTTCAAAAATGTAGGTTAGACTGAAAATGCATATGAAATACATAACTGGAGGCTTGTCGCTTCTTTTGCCTTACGGATTAAACGGGACACTTTTTCTAAAAAACCCACTCATTGATTACAGTTTGTTTGGGCATCTGGAATCCTGAGTAAGCTGCTTCATTCAGCCTGTAGTTGGTAATTTCGGGTCTCAACAATTAAATGAGACTGGCAACTTTATTACTTTATGGTGATGGACGCGAAGCTAATTTAATTTGCTGTTAATTTGCTGTTTGGCCCCTGTCTATAAGTTTGAACCTTACTTTCCTTCCAGTGTGTTTGAAAAAGTGTGCGTGCACACGGAAGCTCCTACTTTGAATAAAACTTTGTTGGTCTTAAAGGTGCCACTGGACTCTAAATAAGCTCTCACTAAGTTATGTCCACAAAAGCCTGGAAACCAGTTGTGATCTGCATCCTGACAGATATTCTGAATATGTGTCTGTCTCCAAGTGCCACATATAGTAGTAATTATGCATGATGCTTCCTTTGGACTGAACCCTACGGACTGAACCCTGTGAAAACAATAGCACCAATACGAAGTGTTCCCCTGAAAGGGGTGTGAAGGTATCGTACTGGACATGTCAGGAGTGCTCTTGAGATCTGGCACAGTAATCCATCCCCTCTTTCCTTCTCTTCCTCCATTCTCAGAATGGGCACATGAATGTTAGTATGGATCCACAAGGGTTAAGCTAACACTAAATATTATGAAAATACAAAATTTATTCAGGTGTACACATTTTAAAACTTAGATTCATTAAAAAATATACCATTCAGACATAAAAAACTTCTCAACATTCATACATAGATGACATACATTCAAAAAAATTTTTTTTACATAAGATGTTAAAGTCCACCAATAATTCTTGTAGCACAAATATTATGAAAATACAAAATTTATTCAGGTGTACACATTTTAAAACTTAGATTCATTAAAAAATATACCATTCAGACATAAAAAACTTCTCAACATTCATACACAGATGACATACATTCAAAAAAAATTTTTTTACATAAGATGTTAAAGTCCACCAATAATTCTGGTAGCACAAATTTGCGTGAGTTGAATGTATGTCACTCCATCCTGTACAAATTCACCAGCAAATCTGTGCTACCAGAATTATTGGTGGACTTTAATTGGCTAGACTTTAATTGGCTGGACTTTAATTGGCTGGACTTTAATTGGCTAGCCCATCTTATAGAATAATAATAAACAAATTCAGAAGTATTTAGGAAACAACAGCTGGCCTTATACTGTATATATATTTAACATCTTATGTACAAAATTTTTTTGAATGTATGTCAAATTTGTAATTGGAATTGTGACCACTGAGGAAGGCCCTTTGAGTGGCCGAAACGCGTTTGGTTCAGTGGCACAGCACTAACCCATCTATGTATGAATGTTGAGAAGTTTTTTTTATGTCCGAATGGTATATTTTTAATGAATCTAAGTTTTAAAATGTGTACACCTGAATAATTTTTGTATTTTCATAATATTTAGTGTTAGCTTAACCCTTGTGGATCCATAGCAACTTTTTGGGTTGAGTTTTCTCCCCCCCCCTTTTTTTCCCCTTCCCCCTTCCCTTCCTTTTTGTTAGCACATGAATGTTAGTGACATGGTTTTAACTTATTGATAATGGGAAATAATTCTCCTTCCAGATATCGGACACTTAAGAAACTGGCAATTTTGTCTCCATCCAGTGCTCTTAGGTGGCCCTGAGGTGCTTCCGGATGTGGGCTGTCTCATACGGATCTCCAAGGATGCTAAAACCACCCTTGGTTGAGACCCTCGAGAGCCACTGCCAGTCTGAGTAGACAATGCTGGTCTTGACGGACCAATGGTCTGATTCACTATAAGGCAGATTCATGCGTTTAACCACTGCTTTGGGTGGAAACCTCCATGACCATGGTCAACAGATGTTCCATGTGATCTTGGGAACTGCAGTCTAAGATGCAACCACGGAGAGCCTTGGGTATTCTTCAAGTATATACGTGACTTCAGGCAGGGCTTTTATTGTAGAAAAAGCCCAGCAGGAACTCATTAGCATAATAGGCTACACCCAACAGCAGGAACTCATTAGCATATTAGGCCACACCCCTGACAGCACCGCTCATTGGCATATTAGGCCACACCCCCATGTTACCAGAAATGTGCTCATCCAGCCACACCCACCTTTTGCTTCTTATTCTGTTTACCTTGTTTGTTGTCCAAACTCAGGGCTTTTTTGTAGCAGGAACTCCTTTGCATGTTAGGCCACACACCCCTAATGTAGCCAATCCTAATGAGTTTCTGCTGTTGGGTGTGGCCTATTATGCTAATGCGTTCCTGCTGGGTGTGGCCAAATTGGAAGCCAGCCGGAACTCCATTCCTGTGGGTTCCTGCCCAAAAATAGCCCTGACTTCAGGAATTGTCACCTGAACAAAAGGACAATGAGCCTAGTGTCACTTTTGGATAAACAATGCTACCAGTTAGCCTGATGTTAACATTCCAGAATGGAATATCATGTAATTTTTGAATATTCTTTGAAACATACCCTTGTGGCTCAGTGGCAGAGACCCCGCTTTGCATGCAGAAAGTCCCAGTTTCAATCCCTGGCTCCTCCAGTTAAGAAGGACCAGGCAGTTGGGGATGGGAAAGACCTCCGCCTGAGACTCTGGAGAAGCACTGCAGTCAGAGTAGACAATACTGACCTTAATGGACCAATGGGCCTTATTCAGTATAAGGCAGCTTCATTGGTGTTCAGTAGTATCAGGGGGTATGTGCAAGCAAAAGTTGACATTTCTATTCTGGGTCAACCAATCAAGTCATTAAAGGCAACCAATCTGTAGATCAACAAAAGCTCTGCAACGTTATCCTTGCTCTATCAATAGAAACGTGAGCCCGTGGCATTATAGTAAACCATTTCAGAAAGTACACTGCAGACATTGCAACATTCATGCTGGGTCACTGCACTGTGTGGGGCCATTGGTTTTCCCATAGAATGTATTATGGAGCTGGATGCTGTCTTGTAAGTCTTGTCTTGAAAGTCTCCTTCGGAACTCGTCTGTTGTAAAGTAATAAATGACGGGGTCGAGGCAAGAATTGAGACTGGCGATACACAAGGCTATTGTGTGGAATATCAGAATCACCTTTCGAGCATGACAGTCTCTGATTGTTTTGGCTTTCACAAAGAAGTCCAAAGGGAAGCTGATGTGGTAAGGGGCGAAGCAAATCAGAAAGACCAGAGCACAAGTTAAGATCATCTTCAACGCTTTCTTTTTCTCTCCAAGGTCTTGGGGAAGGGAATGTTTTTCTCTGAGAGACAAGGCAGTCTTCCACGTACAGTACAGGATGATCAGCAAAGGGGTCACAAACCCAACCAGTTCGCCAGCGGTCATCATGGTGATGCTGACCGTACCACTGATGGCATTGACCGGAAGGTCCACAAAGCATTTGCTGCCATTGTGCGTCTCATTAGATGCACGTCGCAGAAGAGGGAAAGGCAAACAACCGATACAGACCACAATCCACCCGGCGATGCTGACATACACGTCGTAGATGCGCTCGCAGTTGCTGAACTTCAAGGGGTACATGATGAACAGAAAACGCCTGACGCTGATGCATACTAAGAAGTAGATGCTGGCGTACATGTTGACGTATTTCAGGTAGAAGCAGAACATGCAGAGCCCATTCCCAAAGTGCCAGCTTTCCGATAGGTAATAGAAAATTCTCAGAGGCAAGGATAAAACTTGGGCTAAATCTGCGACTGCGAGGTTGATCATAAAAATGACGGCCCGTTTTGTTTCTTTCATGTACCCATAAAACACCCAGAGTGCTAAAATGTTCCCTATCAGTCCAGGTACCAAGATGATTGTGTACATGATGGCATAGAAGCGCTTTGAAAAGTCGTTCTCTCCATTGCAGTCTACGTCGTTCGTTGCCATGTTGGTTTTCATATAGTACCAAGCGAGTCAACGGCAATGGAAATGTTATTGATGAGAGATTTTAATACCTTGAAATCTCACGGAGGGGAAATAAGGACGCAGGGTGGCATCTTGGGAACCTGCAAGTGGGATTGCAGCCCTTTTTTGCATTCTCCTGAGATCTTATGGGACGGACAGCCCGACCAAGTCAAAGTATCCTTGGAGATAAATTTAAGGAGACAAAACTTTTTCTTTGAGCGCTTGTTAGCGTTTGTTCATCTAAATCTTATTCTGAAAGCATATACATTTGTATTTAGGAAGGACTTTCTTCCGTTCTCCTCAGCAGATTATTTAGGGCAGCTTTCCCTCACTCTTTTTGACCGCTGCGTCTTGGTAGATTTTGGAAGAAGCCATGACAGAGATTAGAAACCCTGAATTCTTCTTGTTACTGGTGGCCTTTCCAAGGTGAGTTGTTTCTGAGCCCAGATACATCAAGCCGATCCATGAGGAAAGAGATGCTGACCAAAGCAAGCATTGTCCAATGTGTTAGACTGGCAATGGTAGGAGGGGTTTCTGTTCCATTGTGCGTACCTCCTCCTTCACAACTAGTTTTTTTCCAGCAAATAATGGTAGTGCACCTACAATGGTAGAGACAAACACAAATTTACATGGCTTCTTTACAGAATCCAAAAGCAGACCTTTTCGCAGATAATTGATAAAATACTTTATACCAGGATAACATATTCCAGGAAGTCCTAGAGTCAACACAGTCATAACAAACAAAGGCCCCTAGTTCAATATGTCTGGATGTGGTTCTTTACAATACCCCAAAGGGGAATTCTCATATTTGTACTCAAGTCTGGTTCAGCCTCTGCAGCAAACCTTTGAATAATACCAGTGCTAGAAGACAACATCAGGAGAAGACCTCGGCCTCTATGCCCTGTTAGTTGGCCCTCCAGGGTAATTGGTTGGCTATTGTGTGAAACAGTTTGCTGGACAAGACAGACCACTGGTCTGGTCCAGTAGTGCTTTTCTGATGTTCTTATGTGAATCTGGTATCCACCAAAGCCAACATCCCAGCAGCTGTTGGGTTGGATCCCACAGATCTGTTCTGCTAATGGTGGCACTTCCCCCTGGAGTAAGAAGACTTCCTCCGATGCAAGATCCTGTTTAGGGTTTCCAACTCTGGGCTGGGAAATTTCTGGAGATTTAGGGGGTAGAGCTTGGGGAGACCAGAGTTTGGGGAGGGGAGGGACCTTAGTGGGGTATAATGCCATGAAGTCCACCCTCCATTTCCTCCAGGGGGATTGATCTCTGTAGACTAGAGATCAGTTGCAATTCCGGGAGTCCTTGAGACCCCACCTGGAGGTTGGCAACCCTATCAGAGAAAGTTCAGGCTAGTGGAAGGGATTGCCATCACTGGACGAGATCCTCAGGATCCAACCCACTGTCATTGGGATTAGATTTTTGTGCCACTATGGGAGCCAGTTTTGGGTTGAAAAGTGGGATAAACGAATAACAATGAAATGCACGGAGAGCCAGCAGGGTTCCGTCAGCTCGCTTTCACTGGGTGTTAACAGAGTTATTGTCGTAATGACAACCTTCAGAAGACTGTTCTCCGCAGTCTGTTTGCAAAATTCACAAGGCGGCTTGCATCAGCAAAAGAATGGAACCACACTTTGAAGATCTCACAAGATAATGGTAGCAAATCAATACGCAACTGTAGGGCTGACTGCTGTTCAAGGAACAGGTCCTTTCTCTTCCTCCTTCTCAGCTGGCAGAATATATGGGCATGGGGGGAGTCCAAGGGGAGAGGGGACGGCTGACTATTGGCCAAGAAGGACAATGGGAGGAGCTCGGTTCTCTCCCTCCCCGTTCCATCTCACAGGTCCCTGAGTGCAGCTCAATGCGTCTCAAATGAGCTGTAGCTCATCAGCGCAACACACCCACTTCTTCGGGGAGCACTTCTGTGGGCCCCCTGGACCTGGCATGACCGCTGTGTCTAACCTTCTTGCAAAGTGACTGTGGCAGTGCTTTGGGGGGGGGGGGCTTTGGGGGGGGGGGGGTGGCAGGCCACCAGGGGCCACCACAAGTCTCCAGACAATGATTCTGTCTGAGGTCTTCTCACCATGACCAGATCCAACTCTACACAGCCAATCGCCCCTCTTCAGAGAAGAAGATGCTGTAAGGTTGCCTCCATGCTTGAGAGGAGACCGATGGAGTGTAATGGGAGGGTCTCAGTTAATTACTCTCAGCATCCCACAATTAAGGATACATCTGCCCATCAATCTCCAATTGTGACATATTTATTTCCTTCCCTATGTTTTCCCCTCAGAATTAAACCCGAGCAAATGGTAACCATACAAACTAAGCTTGCTTTTCCTGTTTGGTCCTTGAATCTGTTAAACTTCTTCATTATGCTGTATGCTAATTTGCTGCTCACCCTCTACCTATATGTATGAACTGGTAATTTCCAATTCATTGTATCTGAAGAAGTGTGTATGCACACGGAAGCTTATACGTTGAATAAAACTTTCTTGGTCTTAAAGGTGCCACTGGACTCGAACTTTGTTCAGATCCAACCCAATACAATGCTCCCTCTAAGCTGTAGAGTCTTGTGAGCAAAAATTCTACTTTGTGAGCTGCTGGCATGAAAGTTGCTAGCCCGCACTAACTCAGCTTAGAGGGAACACTGAACCCAAACACTGTAAGGAAAAAGATGACACGACTTTCCCAGCTTTGTGGGTCCCAGGAGTGACCGGAGACTCCAGAAAGTTGCCTCCCAGTCTCCCTTTCTAGTGTCCTTGTTGGTGAGACCTCTGCCAGCGATGAAGACAGTGTATGGTCCCTCTGAAACCCTTTGTGAGCTGCTGGCATGAAAGTTGCTAGCTCGCACTAGCTCAGCTTAGAGGGAACACTGAACCCAAACACTGTAAGGAAAAAGATGACATGACTTTCCCAGCTCTGTGGGCCCCAGGAGTGACCGGAGACTCCAGAAGGTTGCCTCCCAGTCTCCCTTTCTAGCGTCCTTGTTGGTGAGACCTCTGCCAGCTGTGAAGACCCAAGTGTATGGTCCATTTTAATACCATCTGAAACCAGCCCCAGCCAGGAGCCCTCTGTCAGACTTGAAACCAACTTAAGCTGAAAATCCCCGCCTCTCTATTTTCCATCCAAAGGCATCAAAAGTAACACAGGAAGTTGCCAGGCACCCTGCATTGCCTTTGGTGCCATCTCAGCTGAGAGTCCACCCAGGGCTGCCAACCTCCAGGTGGGGCCTGGAGATCTGGAATTACAACAGATCTGCAGTCCACACAGGTTGGTTCCCCTGGAAAAAAATGGCTGCTTTGGAGAGTGGATTCTATGGCATTATACCCAGCTGAGCTACCTTCAGTTTCCAGCCCCCAGGCTCATAAACCCATAAACCTCCAGGAATTCCCCAACACGGAGCTGGCAATCCTAGCCCACACCCAAAGGAACACTGGTATTTAATCTGAGTTATCATGGAATGATAGAATCATAGAGTTGGAAGGGACCTCCAGGGACATCTAGTCCAACCCCGTGCACAACGCAGTGGGTATTTTCGTTTGTTTTGTTTTTGTATTTGTATTGGGGGTTTTATTCCTATGAACTGCCAGTTTGGTGTAGTGGTTAAGAGCAGCAGACTCTTACATGGAGAACTGGGTTTGATTCCCCACTCCTCCACATGAAACCAGCTGGGTGACCTTGGGTCAGTCACAGTTCTCTCAGAGCTGTTCTCTCAAGAGCAGTTCTCTCAGAGCTCTCTCAGCCCCGCCTACCTCACAGGGTGTCTGTTGTGGGGAGAGGAAGGGAAAGGAGATCGCGAACTGCTCTGAGACTCCAAGTGAAAGGTAGGGTATAAATCCAATCTCTTCCTCTATGCAAACCAATTTTGGCTGGAAAATGAGATCAAAATATAACAAATTATTCACAGGTCTGGATGGATTCAGACAAGCAAGATACCCGCTTTCTCTGATTTTTTTTTTTTGGAGGGGAGGGGTGAACTCCTGAAGCAATCCCAGGTAGTCTAAGCAATGGTATGGAATACATAAACAAGAATGCGTCTTCCTGACCCAGTAATGAAGCGTTGCCATACTTTTGATCAATAGATTTCATAAAAGATAAACATAATGTCACTTTATTTCTTGCTCTGTTTTGTTGCAGGAGTCACAATGCATGACATATCGACTCCTTGACAGTACAGAATGTTTTATGGTTCGATGCCATGAGTAACAAAACAGTCATGATGGATAGAGGCACATTACCTAAACTTAAATCCTTTGAAGCACGGCATATGGAATCTTTCATCTCCTGGGACACAGTAAGCTAAGCAGAAACAAAGTCTAAATGAGGAACTAATGGCCGAATGCTCGGAAGGTGGGCCCAGAATTAGGACAAAAAGGGAAAATGGAATCTAGTTTTCCAGTTAGACCTTATATATATATATATTGTGCATCAAAGCATGACCCCACCCCAAGGAGAGCATGAAGACGGTTGTCTTCCCCCATAATCCCCCCCCACAGGGCCGGCTCACCCACTAGGCAAACTAGGCATTTGCCTAGAGCGCCGGGCCCTGGCTGGGGCGCCAAGCTGTGCCTCCCCCCTCCTCCCCCCTTTGGTGGTGGTGGCGAGGGGGGAGGAGGCAGTGGTGGCAGCAGCAAAAGGGTGGCTGGCTCCAGGTCTCCAGGCATAAGGCAGCCTTGCCTAGGGTGCAGAAACACCTCGAGCCGGCCCTGCCCCCCCATTCTGAGCTATTCACTGTCATTCCTGACCTCTGAACACAGAGTCTTGTTCAGTTATCAAAAGGGATAGGAACTAATAGACCTCCAGTGAATTTGTCTAAGCCATTTACACTAATGACCATCAGGACTCCATTTACCAGCAAGTCCTGCATGTTCATTCTGCAGTGTATTGAGACATGCAACCAGCATTTACTGTAAGCTCCTCGACTCTTGTAGGGTGAGAGCTAGAATTCTTCTGAAGAGGGGGATGGGGTTTCTCTG